ACGGGCAAGGTCAAACCGCGCAACTCGGATTTTCAATTGAATATTAACAATAATTTAACTCGATCTGTTCAAGAAGTTGCTATGGCTTTTGAGAAACATTTTACTGATGTTCCTTTTTTGACAACTTAATCATTAAACTCTTCTCCTATTGTCGCCGAATCATTGCTCAAACAAAATGTAAAGGCTTGTTCAAATACTTTTAAATTCCATAGAGTACTGCCAAAAGATATCGTTAAATATTTTTAAACTATCGATGTTAAGAAAACGGCAGATTTATGAGGGATTTCCGTTAAAGTTATTTTATAGCAAAAGTATATATATAATAGCACCTTATCTAACTATATTTAATACAAGCGTCGAATCTGGTGTCTTTCCTGATTTAATGAAACAGTAAAGTCATACCTTTATTTAAATCTGGTAGTACATTAGACCCCGCCAATTTTAGACCAATTTCTGTACAACCAACTTTTAGTAAAATTTTTGAAAAAATTATTTTAGATCAGATGTTAAGTTTCTTTAATATTAATAAATTGTTACATAGAAATCAATTCGGTTTTACAAGGGGTCGCTCGACAATTGACGCTGGAGTTGAGCTTATTAAACATATTTTTTGTGCATGAGAGAATTCAGAGGATGCTTTGGGTATATTTTGTGACCTTTCCAAGGCCTTCGACTGCGTTCACCATGAGACATTAATCATCATGACAATAATCATGACATAGTATTATTTGCTGGTGATACTTCCTTGATTTTAAAACTTAAACGTCAATCATTTATACTATTTTTGTTTTACATAAGAGGGCCATTACAGCTATTTACAACCTAAAACCGAGAGAGTCCCTTAGAGAAAAATTTAAATGTAGATTATTAAATCTACATTTAAACGGAAATAAAACTAAATGTAATAAATTTACAACAACGATTGTTAATAGTCTGAGTACCGATGTGTTTTTAAATGAGGAAGCCCTGTTAAATCCACTGTTTTTCTTGGCATCACTCTCGACGCAAAGCTCCAGTGGGGCCCCCATATATCCAAACTAGCAAGCAGACTAACTTCTGCAGCCTATGCTGTAAAAAAGATTAGAGGTCTCACTAGTGTCGAGACAGCTAGATTAGTTTATTTCAGTTATTTCCATAGGATAATGTCTTATGGGATTTTGCTATGGGGCAATGCGGCTGATTCAGAAACTATTTTTGTTTTACAGAAGAGGGCCATTACAGCTATTTACAACCTAAAACCGAGAGAGTCTCTTAGAGATAAATTTAAAGAAATAAATATATATACTTTGGCCTCTCAGTATATTTACGAAAATTTTATGTATGTTCATAAAAACAAAGGTAGTTTTAGTAAAAAAGTGATATACATTCTGTAAACACTAGGAACAAACACAAGCTAGTGATACCAGTTTCTCGACTCCATAGAGTCAGTAATTTATTCTTGGGGCAATGTATACGCTATTACAACAAGGTCCCGGAAAGTGTACAGGCTCTCTCTATTACCAAGTTTAAATCTTTTGTTAAGTCGAAACTGTATAAAAAGGGTAATTATAGTATAAATGAATACATGGTTGATAATAACCCCTGGGAATAAGGTGGTCACTTGCAAGCTGTTTCTAAAATAAATTTTGTACTTATATAGTTTGTAGAACCATTAATGTAAAATTTGCTTTTAAAAAAAAGTCTCGCTGGGTTTCTTGCTGGTTCTTCCCAGGACAGAGGTTTTTTTTCGAACCAGTGGTAAAGTGAAAAATGACTTTCAATAAGAATTACACATGTGATCTATATTGAATAAAAAAATTAATCTATTCTATTCTATTCTATTCTTCCGATATAAGCATATAAGCGGATTGCGTATAAGCATTCCATCTTTGTCGTCAGAGGTAACAACGTATCTGTGGCATTTTTAAGCCACCAGGGCGGCGCCACTGCGGAATGAAGTGAAATATTTAACGGGCGAGGAAGTGAATTTTGCATTTAGAAAAATGTAAAAGTTAATGTTTCTTTCTGAAATATTAGTAATATTTTATATTAATTAGATCACTCGTCAAAATGAAGAAATATAATTAAAAATACAAGAAAAAAAAACATGTGTGAGTGTCGTGGAACACTCGGTTGGAACGAAGTTCGTTTCGTAGTATATTATTAATGAAAAACCTATTATATTATTGATTAACAAAATAAATAGAAATAAATGAATTACTAGCGTCTATTAAAATGAAAAGTCATTTAAAATAAAATAAAATAAAAAGTTATTTTCGTAGTATATTATTATTGATAAACGTATTATATTATTGATTAACAAATACAAACAAATAAATAATACAAATAAAAAAAATATGCACACTATAACGCAAGGGGTAGTAACGAAAAAATCTTACACTTTTGTCACCTAGCTCCCATCCGCCAAACCCGTACCGTCCGATAAGGAACTTCGTTCTAAAAAAACCATCAGCTACGTCACCACTTACCATCAGGTGGAATAGAAAGCAAGTACTGTCTTAATATAGATTTTTTTATAGGATCGGGTGACAAACGAGCACACAGTCCACCTGATGGTAAGTGGTTACTGTGACGCATAGACATCTACATCTATCCTCAATAAAGACTCAACATGCAGATACGTTGTCACCCGTGAGGACTAAGATGGAATGCCTCTTTGCCAGTAAAGAGGGTCTCCGATTCTCTACACTCACCATAGGAAACACAGCAGCGTTAAGCTGCTATTTTACGCTGGTTTTCTGTGAGAGCGAGGTCCTTCCCCGCTCGATCCAACCCATTCGTGCTTCAACTATACTACTAATAATATAAAGAAAATACAAGGATGAACATATCTTGTCACACCCGATCCCTACCCTCAATCTAATTACATCATTATGCGAAAACGATATATTCATTGCTGTTTAGTCGTAAGAGGCGACAGAGGTAAACTGAAACAGAAGTTAATGGTAGTAGCAAAAACCGCAGATGAGAAACCGCCTGCCATGTGAAAAACCGTGGCTACAATGGAGATATCCCCCTAAATAAGGCAATATATTTGGGAGGCCTATGTTCAGCAGTGGACTTTTGATGGGATCTAATAAATGAAAATTAATGACAAATTCATAGCCTTTATTTAATCAATAATAGCTTGTAGCATTTATAATTTTGATAGTAATTTAAAATTGTTGCTTTTTTCGAAACACAAACATTGGATAAACAACACAACTAACACTTACGAAATAATCTCGGTGTATGTCTCTGTGTCACAGACCTTTTTTAGACTATTTTACGTTGTAATTGTTACAAGTCTACCTAAACATTGGCCTCTCTTTTTTATAGTATAAGGGTGACAAACGAGCACATAGAATAGAATAGAATAGAATAGAATAGAATAGAATAGAATAGAATGATTTTTATTCAATATGGATTATTACATAATACTTATTGAAAGTCATTATTTTATTTACCACTGGTTCGGAAAATACCTCTGTCCTGGGAAGAACCAGCAAGAAACCCAGCGGGACTTTTTTTTTTAAACATAATTTCACTTAACAATAATTTTGATTATACAATTTTAAATGAATTTTCATAGAACCAGCATGGTGGCGATCACCTTATTCCCAGGGGTTATTTTCATTCATGTATTCCTTGATATTATAATAACCCTTTTTGTACAGTTTTTCTTTAATAAAACTTTTAAACTTGTTTATTGACAAACTTTGAACATGTTCTGGGATTCTGTTGTAAAAGCGTATACATTGCCCCATAAATGAATTACTAATTCTGTGGAGTCTTGTAAGTGGCATTAGCTTATGTTTGTTCCTAGTGTTTAAGGTATGAACATCCTTATTCTTATTAAAGCTATTTATGTTTTTATGTACATACATTACATTTTCATAAATATATTGCGATGCCAAAGTTAATATGTTTATTTCTTTAAATTTTTCTCTAAGGGACTCTTTACAATTTAGATTATAAATCGCCCGTACGGCTCTCTTTTGCAAAACAAATATAGCTTCAATATCAGTCGCATTACCCCATAGCAAAATTCCATAAGACATTACGCTATGAAAGTAACTAAAATACACTAACCTAGCTGTCTCAACATCTGTGAGACTTCTAATCTTTCTTACAGCATATGCTGCAGAACTAAGTCCACATGATGGTAAGTGGTTGCTGCGGCCCAGAGACATCTACATCTATCCTCTATTACAAATCAAAATGCAGATGCGTTGTCACCCGTGAGGACTAAGATGGAATGCCTCATTTCCAGTAAAAAGGGTCTCCAGTTCTCTACACTCACCATACGAAACACAGCAGCGTTAAACTGCTATTTTACGCTGGTATTCTGTGAGAGCGTGGTCCTTCCCCGGTCGAGCCGACCCATTCGTGCTACAACTATACTACTAATATAGCTGCAGCATGGCTCTACCACATATGATCTCTCTCATAGATTGTCACAAAAGTGGTCAAGAACCACCTGCAACCATCGACTTGTTGCATGCTTTATCAGGTCGTTCCTCCATTTTTCCTGCTGCCTTTTTGCAGTTACATCTTTTCTACATCGACCACCTAATAGTACCCTGAGAACACATCTTAATTATTTAGGCGGAAACGGCATCAACGATTGAGACGAATTTTCTGCCGACTTCCAAAAAGGAGACGGTACTCAATTCGACTGTATGTTTTTTTATGTGTGTTACCTCATAACTTTTTACTGGGTGAACCGATTTCAATGATTCTTTTTTTGTTTGAAAGCGGGTACTTCTCGTGTGGTCCCATATAAATTATATCAACGTCGGACTAATAGTTTTTGAGTTATTCTTAATTACTTATACTGAAGTCGGCTGTACAAAATTTTTTATTTTAAATTATTGTATTTAGATTATATTTCACTTTCCAAAGTTTATCAAGATAGGTATCATCCCTCCGATTCTTTTAGTCTAACAGCGAGTTGAAGCTCCTTCGCCCATGCACAACAACTGGTACATTTCTCAGCAATAATACACATATTGTTTCAGCCTCAAGAGAAACGGCCTTTACGAACGCGATCACCTCGGCTGGCGTCTCGCTGGCGATCTCCCGGGCGTGTAGAGATGGCCGACTGGCCAGCTGTGGCTGCAGCCGAAGTGCCCGACCCAAGAATCTGCATGAAGACTGGGTTTGGGGCGGCTGTGGGGACAACCTGCAGTATGGATACAAGTATGTATTTAGTAAAGCAGCAAACTGTGTTCACCACTATGCAGTTATTTCTAAGAGGTCTCATTGTTATATGAGGTCATAAGAAATGAGTAGATTTTGTAATTTTCATCCACTGCCAGTTGGATGTGTTCTCGTCACTTACCGTACGAAGTAGAACAGTATTATGCTGCTATTACATAGTGATATTTCGAGTAAAGATTGTTCTACACTACAGCATGTCAACCAAACCGCGTGTGTTACCTTACTACTATACTTACCACAAAGTACATACTTACTGGCTAATTTGAAAAGAAAATAACGGGCGATTAGATTTCTCTTATTTTAGCTAAGACTCTCCACTCCATTGAATAATAATCTCCATTGAAATCAGAATGTTTGATATATCAGTAGCCTTGCGAATTTTGTGAAGTGCTCGTCACATCGGGAATGAAAAAAGTTAAAATTAAACTCGATAAAATCCGTAAAATTAATTTGATTTATTTCATTAATTATATGAATATAAATATTGTACACGTTATAAATATTCTAGCGAGATAACATTTAAGATAAAACTCTTACAACTTATGATATCTTAGTAATCGTGAACGAAATGCGTCGGGTGGACCACTAAGGCGCCCTAAGAGGGAAGCTACGCAGCCGAGTTAAGAGAAAGAGAGAGAGGGAGAGAGGGCTCTCATTCAGACAATAGGTATTTATTATAATATAGATTAAAAGTCCTCATCTAACGTAGACTTTACAAATAAGAAAATGAAAATACACAATATAATGTAAAATATTTTAGATACAATAATCAACTCAGACAATATTCTAAATTTCTAAACTAATATCGATTCAAAGACCTGCCCATGACTTATAAAAAGAAAAAAATACACAAATAATTTGACATGTGCATTATTCTAATGACCTTTTTTGAGTTGAGAATGAGGACATCCACGACTTTATTTGACCATAGAATTATTACTATATATTTGACAGAGTACATATCGGGAACGTTAATTTGTTCGGAAAATGTAAAGATTAATGTTTGTTTCTGTACTATATAATCTCTATTTTTTATAAATAAAATTAAAAATATATAAACCAAACCACAGATATTCATAAAAGTAGCAAAATTAAGAAAAAGTTAAAATCGTACAACAATTTAAAGAGCAAACCACTGAGGCATTGTTTTGTGAATTATTAATATTATAATACTCTAGAAACTGATAAACTTTTGTTAAAAACTAACTTCTCAATTAAATGACATTGTGTAACAAAAAACTTTACGTCAGTGTCAACTAGCGACATCTGTTGAGCAGAAAATTTATTTATTAATTAGCCCTCATTATATAGTTGGCATTATTAAATGCTTTATTTTCATCGTCATCGTCATTTCAGCTCCTCAGAATTCCACTACTGACCATAGGCCTTCCCCAAATGATGCCACAAAACACTATCATGAGCCACCTGAATCTATCGGCGTTCCATATGTCTTGCTAGATCGTCACTCCAGCAAGCAGGGACCGTGTAGAGTCCGCTTACCGGTACAATGTAGCTTACTAATCTTTTGAGTTATGACGGTTACTCTGGTGCTTTTTATGATACTGTAGTCCATGCACACCTACTTATTCAAAAGATACTACAGATGTTTTGTCACTTCTGAGGATTAAAGTATATTGCTTCACAGCCTGGGAGTCTTTTTACTCTTCAGATTGGAACCGAGTAGTGCACGCACTGTTGCTAGGCGACAAAAGTAGGTAAGAGCGTACCTAGCCATTTTAGGATTATTAATAGTTAAAAAATATAAGCTGACCATAGTACATGCACTACTCAATCTTACACATTTCGTTCATCAGAAAATAAGTAACGTCTGGTGGCCCTGGGATCTTGGACTATAATATTTCGTTAACTTTTGACAGTTTCACAGTTGCTTCAGAATTTACAATACAATACAATACTCTTTATGTTACACGAAAAAAAAATAAAAATAACAAAAAAATAAACAACTATTGAGGTAAATAATACAAAGGGCGGTCTTATTGCTATATAGCAATCTCTTCCACACAACCAAGAAGAAGAAATAAATAAAAAATGACGCTTCATTTTAATAGACGCTAGTAATTCATTTATTTGTATTTGTTAATCAACAATATAATATGTTTGTCAATAATAATATACTACGAGAGAAACTTCGTTCCAACGGAGTGTTCTACGACACTAACGCATGTTTTTTTCTGTTCTTACCATCGGGTGAGCTTAAGTTTTTTGGGCTACAGTTTTATAATAAAAAATCCACAAATAATAAATTCATAAATATACTAGCTGGCCAGGCAAACGTTGTTCTGCTTTCTCCGACGATCCTTTGTCCTATAAAAGTCCTTAAATCGTAATAAAAAATATTGAGGGTTCACTTATCGGGATAAAAATTATCAAGTTGGACCAAATTGCACACAGTGTGCAAAACTTCATTGAAATCAGTTCCGTAGTTTAGGAGTTCATCGCGGACAAACAATGTGACACCTTATTTTTATATATAAAGATGACAGCTAATAGAAACTTTAAACGACATTTCGCAAAATATGAAGTTCACGCAGACTTGGTTTACGCGAGCTAGTTTGTACCGTGGGTCTTTATTCCATATTCCATCTTCCGCTCATATTAAATCGTGCAGAACAGTCGGCAGAGACAATAATGGTATTTACCGTAAGGAATATTTTCTATACGCCGTAGTTACATATTCGTTTACGGTCCCTTTTTTATAGGATAAGGGTGACAAACGAGCTCACAGTCCGCCTGATGGTATGTGTATGGAATAGAAACATAGAAATCTACATTTATCCTCGATTACGAATCAATATGTAGATGCGTTGTCACCATGAGGACTAACTAAGATGGAAGAATGCTTCGTTTCCAGTAAAAAGGGTCTCCGGTTCTCTACTCACTACACGGAACACAGCAGCGTTAAGCTGCTATTTTACGCTGGTATTCTGTGAGAGCGCGGTCCTTCTCCGGTCGAGGCGACCCATTCGTACTACAACTATACCAGTAATATATATTTTTAAGCTTGGTAAAAACTCCTGGTAAAGTCTTTTGCTATAACTTAATATATTATCTTTGGGTACGATGCTTACCGAACATTTAGCAACTGAACGCCTGATCAAGGAGACACTACAGGTGTTCAAAAAAACAAATTACTCAAATTCCTAAACTAAGGTAATAATACAAAGTAAGAAAAATAAGCACTAGCGCTAAGATATAGCACACGTTATATTGTGTAATATTTAATCATGAAACGCTTAAAACTAAGAGCATTTGAACAGCTCTTTGCTTCATGAAACCCGTGTACCAGTTACTATAATCCAACTACACTACTAACTACTTGACTACGTTATAGTTACGTTATAGTTAAAGTTTGATTTATAAATAGTAGATAGAGTGACAACGCTTCAATCGTTATGTTGTCCTGTTTGTAGATTGTTAATTTATTTAAGTTGGAAAAGTTATAAAGTTACGAAGTTATGAAAGAAGGTATCAATCGAGTATAGTGACCAACATTGATTAAATAAAATTATTTTAAACGCTTGAGATTAGCAATTATTTTTATAGCATGGGAATGACAAACGACCACACAGTCCACCCGATATTAAGTGGTTGCTGTGACCCATAGACATCTATATCTATCCTCAATAAAGGATCAAAATGCAATTGCATTGAGAGCCATGAGGACTAAGATGGAATACCTCTTTGCCAGTAAAAAGGGTCTCCGGTTCTCTACACTCACCATACGAAACACAGCAGTGTTAAGCTGCTATTTTACGCTGGTATTCTGCGAGAGCGTAGTCCTTCCCCAGTCGAGCCGATCCATTCGTGCTACAACTATATACAACTATACTACCAATATAGCTGCAACATGGCTCTACCACGTACATATGTACTTTGAGATGGGATGTAAGTCGTTTGTTACCTCGATATAACAGATAAATAATATGTGTAATTGAAAAACAGGTATTAAAAACTACCCGTTCCCCGCGACTTCACCCGTGTGGAATTTATTGCGATTGGATGTCACGGGATATAATTTTTTTGATATAAAAGTAGCCTAAGTTACTCCTTAGCTTACATCAGCTATCTGCCAGTGAAAGTCCCATCCAAATCGGTTCACAGGTTATTGCGTGATGCGTGTTCAGACAGACGTCATGTTACTGTTAGAGTTTTATTATAAATATAACTAGCTGACCCGGTAAACGTTCTTTTGCCATATACATTAAAAATCGCGATTAAAAAACAGGGGTCGATCGTAGAAGGGTGAAAATTAAAAGTTTTAGGTATTTTTCAAAGATAAATCATAATAAAACAAAAATAATAAATTTGTCAAAAAAAATATTATCACCCTTATCATTTAGGGAGTTTGAAAAATAGATGTTGGCCGATTCTCAGACCTACCCGATATGCACAAAAATTTTCATACAAATCTGTTGAGCCGTTTCGGAGGAGTTTGGTAACAAACACCGCAACACGAGAATTTTATATATTAGATAGTATATTAGATTCAATTAAAGAGAGTTACTTGTGATGTTAGTTATTACATATTTCGGACGCTACTTGCGTAGACACTTTGGCGGCCTCTCATTTCACGGATACCACGTTTAGAGTCGAGGCGGTATTAGAGACAGCTGAACTGAGTGAGTGGCGCAAATATGAGTGTCTGAGAAGTGACTAGATATTTGTGCCATTTGCTGTAGAGACTATCGGTCCGTGGGGTCCACGTGTGGTGGAGTTCCTAAAGGAACTCTATCTGTCACTGGTCGTTGCTGTTGGTGATAAGAGGCCTGGTTCTATTCTCGCTCAAAGGCTAAATATAGTTATTCAGCGAGGAAACGCAGCCAGCGTTCTTGGCACAATACCACGGGGAACAGGACTGTGTGATAAAAATAGGTTATTAGTTTTTGTTTTCTTTTTAATGTCATAATTTTATAATCTTTATATATAAAAATTACGTGTCACATTGTTTGTCCGCGACT